GTAATTATATATATTGGCTAACATTTGTTTTTATTTCAATTAATTAGAATCGTGTCTGGAGCTAATATATTAAGTGGAAGAGCCAGATCATCAAAGTCATTGCATTTCATATACCCTAAGGTTAGCAAATTAATTCATACAGTCAATAATATTTAAATTTATTGACTTTGGAATTAATAGTTATTTGTTTCTCATTTTAGTGTAATAAGCAACAAGACTCGTTTGAATGTGGCTATTACATCATGTATTGGATGAAAGCCATAGTTTCTGCGGGTATTATTGATTCTTGGGCGCAGGTAATTCATATCAAAATTTATTTAACTATATTTACCTTTAGAATAATTAACATTGCATATTAATGACACTTAAATTACCCTTTCAGGTCTTTCAAGATCCATCTCCATTGCCCGAAGATGAGATGCTCAAGATAAGAGAACAATGGGCAACTTTTTTTCTAAGTTTAGTTAGTTAGATATTATGTTTATAGTTTGATAGTTAGTTATTTAGATAGCATTGACAAACATGTTTTATAGCTTTTTTAGGATAATAGGATTTACATTGTCATAATTTATGTTTTTTAAGATTTATATATTATTTTCTTTTTGTCATTCAATTTTGAAATACAATTTGAATTTCTATTCTGGACTGCCTGGTTTAGATTTGGTATTCTGGATTATATTTATATGCAGGTGTTGGGTATATCAATTTACAAACGTTTTTAAAAAAAAAACTGCCACAATTTACGTCGGACATGGCGTTGTCCGACGTAAATTTACGTCGGGCCTGGCAAAGACCGACGTAAATTTACGTCGGACAAGGCCACGTCCGACGTAAATTTGTGGCACGATTTTGACCCTTTTTACGTCGGTCTGAAAAGTTGCCCGACGTAAATTTACGTCGTCTTCCAGTGGCGGCGTAAATTTACGACTCCCGTATTAACGTCGGACCCTTTTCCGACGTAAAATGGTCAAAATACACGACGTAAAACACCCTTTGTGTACTAGTGTCTCTAAACAAAACGCCACCTTTGAAGAACTTGATCCAAGGAGTCAAGGTGTCCTCACATTGATCAACCAATCCATCAATGCTAGCAAGGATGCCATCATATTCTTTCCACCCCTTTAATTGCATACTTTAGGCTCACTTGTTGAAATTTAGCTTATACTTTTCTTATGCTTAGTCTTGAGCACTCATTGAATCATGAAATTTAATCTCACTCTATGTTCTTTTAGTGATTTATCTTTGAACAATTTCAGAGACTTCTGCATCTAGTTGCCAGATTTTGGATCGATGTGTAAGCTTCTTATTGTTTAAAAATGATTTAAGCATTTCATTTATATCATTACTAATTATGGTATTATTATTGAACAGGAATATAGCTTCCAGCCACTCTCCCTCAGCAAACACTTCGTAAGTTCCTTCTTGTGTTCTAGTTTTAATTCTACATCAGCTTTGAATCATCCGTTGAAACCAACTTTCTATATTGTAGATTATCTTATTTGAAGAGGAACCTACCTTGTTCAGGAAAACCCAGGTGTGAGTGTCTCTAGACTCAGAAAATCGATCATGTTTTCATAAACTATAATGCCTTTGTCAATGAAATTATGATTGTTTCATTTTGAAGTAACATGAATGAGAGAAAATTTGTTTATTTTATTTTTTCCTTGCTTTTCCATAAGTTATTTATTTTTACTTAAATATGTTTTTAGTCTTTTGAATTTAGGATAAATATGTTTTTGAACCCTAAACCCTCAAATTAAAAATTGATCTTTTCATCTCTCTAATTTCAAAAATCCTTGTTTTAACTCCATATGTCACTAATAACATGACTGTGACAAATATTTTTCCTTGCCTAAAATGTTTCATTTTATCTATTCAATTTTGTTAACTCTTAAATTCTATCTCTTCATTCCCTTCTAAAATGTTACTTTAGTAATTAAAATGCATAATTTAATGTCATAGTACATGATGATGATAATTATCATAGCATTGTAAAATTGACATCTTTCATATTTTTTTTAGGATTGGTGAAGGATTTACATGTAGTGGATCACCATAGATGGCAATACTTACAGGATGACATTTATCAATGCAATATGTTTTCCTTTTTTATTTCTAATTAGCAAATTTAACATCATGAATTTGTCATTTTTATAACATAGTTTGAATACTTATATTTCTAGCTCTATGAACAATGATACTTGAAATATAATACAAACATGATGCTTAGAATAACATGATAACAGTTATTGGTTGTTGACACTAATATAGAATCCCAATATTAGATTAGTATGTGAATAAGTAAAAAATTTTCATGTTATTTTAATATAGATCAAAAAACTTTTGTCAAGTCATCTACTTATCTTTTCCTTTTTTTTTTTTCCAAAAAAGGAAGGGTGAATATTATAATATGTTTTGTATATACAATTTTTATTATTTAATGAAATTTAGCAAGAACAAAATATTAAATTCGATATATCAATATATCAGTTAATGAAATTTGACTTTTTTTATACTTTAATGTCATTTTTTGTATACAAGATAATAATAAAATTTGAACTACACTTGTATAGAGTACACATATTCTCTATAAGAGATATTTTATATATATATATATATATATATTTATAGGTACAATAATAATAATAAAAAAATACTTTTACCTATAATTAGAGCATGTAAGAATAAGTTAATGACTTTTACCTACAGTCATAACATGTAAGTACAACTTAATAGTGTCTACCTATAGTAGAGAGTGTAAATATAAGTCAATGAATTTTACCCACGCATATTACAAATTGTAAGTAGCTCTTATAGTGACAGTCAAATGTAGTTGTTGGTAAAATTATGTCTGTAAGTAAAACTTATAGTGATAGGCTATTAGTTGTAGCTATATGCCCCTTCAAAGTTGACAACTTCAATGTCTGTAGGTCAAAAGTACATGATACCTTTACCTATGGAATTTAGATTTTTAGTGACAT